TCAAAGGCGTGAGTACGGCTCTAAGGAACAAGAAGCATTCTACAAGCGAAAGGGGATTCAAATCCAGCCAACCGTAGCATATTCTCCGCAACAGAACGGAGTTGCCGAGAGGTTCAATCGAACGCTAATTGAAAAGGTAAGGACAATGCTGATCGACTCGAATATGCCCAAGTACATGTGGTCGGAAGCAGTGCTTACCGGTACGTATATATTAAATCGTTGCCCTACTGCTGCTCTATCGGACAACCGTACGCCTGCTGAGTATTGGACCGGTGTGAAACCTGATCTATCGAAATTGAGGATTTTCGGATGCAAAGCATTTGCATGGGTGCCAGGTCTATTCCGGAAAAAGCTGGACAACAAGAGTCGCGAGGCGGTGATGGTTGGCTATGCTCCCAACGGATACCGCCTTTGGGATAGAACGTCAAGAAAAATCCTCGTAGCCCGTGACATCAAATTTGACGAGAATTCATTACCGTACGCTTTTGAAGACAGGTACCGTTGGTGATTCCAATGCTGTATCCGGCCGTCAAAGATGACCAGCAAGCTGAATTGGAAGAGCAGCCAGATGACCAGCAAGTTGAGTTCGAAGACGCGATGCCTGTGCTAAGTGATGACGAGGATGAGGTTGAACTAGACGAACAACCTGAGGAGCAACTTGAAAAACCTGGGGCGCTCCCTTCACAATCAAGAGGTGAAGACTGTTCAGAGTCAAACACTAGGCGTGGTGAACGGGAGCGCAGGCTCCCAGGTAAGTTTCTTGACTTTCTAACTGGGTTCAGAGCAACGTCTGCTGGAAAAATTTCAACATTCCCAGATTTCCCGGATTCGTATGATGAAATCAACGCGCGGAATGACCAAAAACTGTGGCTGGATGCAATCGATGAAGAACTGAAATCCCTGGAGGCCAACAAGGTATGGGAATTGGTGCCATGCCCAACCGGCGTCAAACCGCTGCAGTCAAAGTGGATCTTCCGCACGAAAGAGGATGAAGAAGGAAACCCTGTGCGCTATAAAGCAAGGTTGGTCGTCAAAGGTTTCTTGCAGAAAGCCGGTTTGGACTACAACGAAACCTACGCACTTGTGGCGAAGCTGACGACAATCCGTATTGTGCTGGCTGTCGGTGTTCAAAAAGGGTTCCATTTCCACCAAATGGATGTGAAGACGGCGTTTCTTCACGGTGAGCTGCAAGAGAAAATATTCATGGCGGTTCCGAACGGCGTCAAGGCGAGAGCTGGCACGGTGTGCAAATTGAAAAAGAGTCTGTATGGCTTGAAGCAGTCCCCTCGCTGCTGGAACGAGAAGTTCAATCAAGCGCTGCTGAAGTTAGGTTTTATTCGTTCCAAGCACGATTATTGCCTGTACACCCGTACCGACGAGAGGGGGGAAGATGCCATTTTCGTCGTACTATATGTTGATGACCTTCTCATAGCGGGAGCGAAGCTGTCAACAATTTTGAAATTGAAGAACGAATTATCCCGGATGTTCGCCATGACCGACTGTGGAGAGCTTAGCCATTTCCTTGGCATGAAGATACGCTACAATCGACAAGAAGGAAAGATGATGCTGTCTCAAGAAGCAAGCCTAGAAAAGATCTTCCAGAAGTTTGGCATGTTGGAATGCAATCCTACAAGGACCCCGATGGAGAAAGGGTTGCAGCTTTATCGTCAAGTTTTCGAAGCTAATGGAGTACCGTATCGTGAGCTACTGGGAAGTTTAATGTACGTGATGGTATCAACGAGATCGGACATTTGCTATCCTGTCGGGTACCTGGGGAGATTCCAAGCTCAACCCGGACAACAGCACTGGACCGCGCTCAAGCGAGTAGTGCGTTACCTGAGAGGGACGATGGATCATTGCTTGACTTTAACCCGGGATGTTCATGCAAAACCACTAGTTGGGTTCGCGGATGCAGACTGGGCTACCGATACCGAGGACAGGAAGTCAGTGAGCGGATTTGTCTTCCAGGTGTTTGGATCGACTGTTGCCTGGTCTAGTAAAAAACAAACGACGGTCGCCACTTCATCAAGTGAAGCAGAGTATGTGGCGTTAAGCGCTGCAGCATCGGAAGCAATATGGTTGATTGGTGTCCTAGGCGATTTGGGTGAAAAGCAGATCGAGCCAGTTGCCATATATGAAGACAATCGTGGGTGCATCGGCATGGCTAAGAACGTGGAGAGCAAGAGAGTGAAGCATATTGATATCAAACATAACTTTCTTCGGGATCTTGTCACCGCTGGGAAGCTGCTGATAGAACCAATTGCAAGTGAGAACCAATTAGCTGACTTCTTTACCAAGTCCTTGGACGCTGGCCGATTCGAGGAATTAAGGACGAAGCTAGGAGTATCCAAACGAGAGGGGGTGTTAACAAAGTAGGCGTTGGATTGCTGTCTTGAACACTCCAATCAATTTTCTAGCGTCATTCCATATCAAGACACTGAAGAGAGCAGTCATACCAAGATAACTTTATCGTTAATAAAACTTGTTCATTGTTAAGTGTTGTCCTGGTTATTTCCTGTCCGCCCCATCCGCACCGTATTCCTTTAACACCTATATCATTACAATTAATTAAGGTTGGTAAGTTACTTTTGTAGCTAGAGCACCTTGGTAAAAACAAGAATGTGAATTGATTTAAATTCAAGTTATAATAAACACCAGTTTTCATTCAAGTTTATTCCGCCCGTTTTATTCCCCTGGGCAAAACCTTGAGGTAGTTCAATTAGGCTACCAGGTCCCAGGGCTGATCTGAATCTTTACCACATTGCAAAGATGCACACTAGTGTTGCCAGATCAGTGTTGATGCTGATGCAAAAGTGCATTTGAACCCGCTTATAAAAGCATATTAACAGATTAATCATCACCGTACATTGTTTATTGCTCTGTACTAATAATAAATGATAAAGCACAGCATTTGATATTTTAGTAGGAATGCTGGATTTAGTCACAGTAGAAAACATCATGCTGTATGATCTTTTAAGCAATTTACCTAAATTTTGGGATACAAGGGTTTAAAAATTATGAACTTACTTTCCAACTTTTACTAATACTACTGTTACTCCCACTTTACCCCTACTTGAAACACTATTCATCCCTATCCGGCACCTTAAGCAGGATTCAATTGATACCTGTGATTATTATTCTGTGGTGCCAAATCTTTACCTCTACCCTTGTGCTGTATGGAAAGCGATTTTTTACTGGAGACCTGGCCCTATGATCCCCTTCTGTGCTTGAAAATGAAAATGAAAATGAAGTTTATTCCCCCCTTTTTTTCGTAAATTATTCCGAGGATCCCACAGAACTATTGTCAAAATTAAATGTATATGCACCATCTAGGCATTTACAAAATAGAAATATATTTGCGACAAACCACTATCGTACAAATTATGCCAAATTTGGACTCTTGAACCAAATGATAGACACATACAACATTGCGATAACATTGACTTTACAATGACAAATACCAAATTAAAGCAATATGTTAATTCCTCACGTAACTTCAGCTGGTAGTAGTTTTTTTTTATAACATATTGTAATGTATATAACAAAGACAAAATAGCTCTTAAGGCAACTGGAGTTGGTTAAGGTAACCCTTGCCAACAGGCAATATCGTTCCCACAGGAACTGAATCAGCGGAACTCTATATCACCGACCAAAATTGCTGAAATTCGTAGTCAGCAAAAAAGATGCCGTAGTTACACACCACCAGACATTTCAACATTCAATTCCAAGAAATCAACGAGCAACAATAGAATGTGGCCATTTGGAGACGACGAAGGTATCCAGAACAATTTCTAATCGTACAATGTGGCTTCAAATTCCATCGATGGGGCAATAATCATCGCCCTAATCGCAACTGCACTGATCTAAAAGTGGCATAGCAACACAGAAAGGCTGCGTCAACTTGAATCGAGGACCCGCAGGCAAGTTTAACTTAATCGGAGTGGTGTAAATGACACTGCCAACAAAGTAAGCATTCTAACGATTTAAGATATACAGTCAGTCTAAGTTTCAACGTCAAGACAAGTCGTTCATTATTTATATCCAACTCGATGAACATTCTTCAGCAACTATTGTAAAACGGTTTACACTGATTGACGACAAATAAATAAATATACATCCACAAATTATGGACGGGTTTTGAGTGATTATTAGTCCCTTCCCCTTGTATGACACTAAGATTTTCAGTTTACCCCCTCCCGCTATTTTGTTTCGAAAATCGTTAAATATTGAGTTGGGAACATTTCCATATAGGTATAAACTAGAGTCGGTGTATAATGAGTCACGCCAAGAGTGAAGCCAAGTCTACCTATTGAACTGTCAAATCGGCTACCTATGGTGCAAAGTAAATAAACATTTCGATGCTATGAAAGGTCTACGAAAGGTATTGCAATGAAATATAAAATAAAATTGAAGAAATCATCATAAACACGCAGCGAGCATTAAATGGTCATGGGATACGTTTAGTTTTGATCAGTAATGAGAATTTCTACTATTTTTTGATAAGATAATTTGACAAAATCACTGATATTATGATTCACTACAGCCGTTATTTTTGGTTCTCGCTAGAAGTCATTTAAAGTTGATGTAGAAGTCCTCTGTTGCCAAGTGAAAAGAAAGGGAATCCTTCGGAAACCGTGATGCGAGTTCAACTGTTTTTCTCTTGGCGTGACTCATTATACACCGACTCTAGTATAAACATATAAGAGTATAATAATATTATTCAGAGTATGTTCAGGTTCTTTGGCAAAAAAAAGGTTAACATCTTCTTTTTTATTAATAAATCATACCTTCCCTCTTCTAAGCAATGTTAAGACTCCATCTTCCTCTCTATTCCCTTACATAATTTGTGGATGACCTCATAGTTATTTTCTTCTTAATTCAAATTAAGAGAACAATTTTCAACCACATTCTTTCTCTAGGAAACTAACACCAAGTTGGAATTCTAGTCATATCATACCATTGTTCTAAACACGATAATAGCTGATCCATAAAAAACTTACCCTCTATATTATCTGTTTCCTTGATGACTGGTTCACACTTCAGTGGTTCCCGATTATCGGGTCCGATGGTTGGTAGAGCCTGTAAAGAAAAAGAAAACATTTGATTTCAATTCTAAACTAACATTTGAAAAGGGCGTAATTCCAAAATGACCATATCGAGAAAATCGCTTCTGGATTTTGATGACCTAAAAATTAATCCTATTTCACGACTTTCCATTTTCTGGATGATTTTATAAGCTTGACATATAGTTAATAGTGTAATCTATCATCATGCATCACTAAAAACACATCATACGCCCTGATAATTTCATACATGTTGTTACCCCCCGGATCTTCCACCCTTTGAACTGCCAACACTGGTGATACGCCGTGGAAGTACACCCTCGGGATTTTTGTTTGTTGTTCCGCCTTGGTTCTTCGTTCGCAAATTTTGTGAGAGTGGAATTACGCCCGGAGATTTTTTGGTCTCATTTTTGTTCGTTGTTTACACGTGAACTATCAATCGGATGCATTTCAAATGAATCGGGCGTGACTAGATACTACAGAATCAATACGTTTAGCATATTAAAACGATATAATTCGTAGTTCTGGTGCAAGGCGTATCAACCAGATGCATCATAGAGTTGAAAGTTGGAAATACGCCATGTAAGAAGAAACGTTTTTGATGATTTTAAGTGATATTTTTTCTACTTTTTCGTGTTTATCGAGTAGTTTGTGAACTATTCTCTCTATATGTGGCAAAATATGGTTTGTTTACATTTTGGGGCTCTTCCGCCCCTTTCAAATGTTAGTCTAGAATTATCCGTGTCGATACCCCTTATCCACCTGCAAAGCTTACCTTCTGTAATTCACTGGTCGTCGCTAATTTGCTATCATTTTTTATGTTGTCATTGGATTCATGGTCCTCATCGTCACTGCTCAGCGTAAAAACAACCGGTTCCACGTCCTGATACTTGGAAGAACCACTTCTTCCTCGTCCCCGGCCACCCCTAGCTCCCGAACCACTCCCCCTGCCTATTCCACGGATCGATAGCATACCGCCTAGATTCGACTGAGAAGGTTTCTTCTGCAACGTAATGCCTTTCACTCCAACTAACGAGTCACGCTCAGCGGTTCCTAGTACCGATTTATCCGTCGCGTAAAGCATCTTGGTGTGAAGCGGTGTAGAAGATGCTGTAGGGACCAGTGGGGGCGGATGTGGCGAAATCATCGGTTTGTCCGGTTCCGGGACCTTTCGTGGTGCTTCCGTAAATATCCGTTTACACCGTTGACACTTGGCGTGATCGATTCCGGTGTACCCACAACCGTGGCAAACAGCCAAGAAGCCTTTAACGATTTTCACCGGAGGTTCTTTCTTTGGATCGCTTTGATCGGCAACCGATTTTGATGTTTCATTGGTCACGGTGATCTGCGGCGTTTGAATGAGCTGAACCGGCGTCGTGGGAGTCATCGTAGCACGGAATGAATCGTTAAAACGAGATTGCTGATGATGAGATGGAGTTTGCTGCAGTTGCTGCTGGTGCTGCGCCTGTGGCGGTTGAGGGACACTCATTGGGCCAGCATGGTGCATTGGAGGTTGCTGATGCAACTGTTGCTGTTGTTGTTGTTGTTGCTGCAGCATCTGTTGTTGAGCCAGCTAAATGGGAAAAATAGGATGAAAAATAATTATATTAGTGATCAACAAGCTTTGAGAAGTTAAGTGACTTATGAGATTAGCAGTGGCTTGTAAATCGTGAAACATGCGAGTTATTCCTTGATTGTATTGTAAAGGGTGATACGGTCAAAATTTGGTCAATATCAACTTGACGTATTTCTTTCAATTTTGCATTTAAAAAACCTGAACACCCCTCATTTTGAAGGTGTGTGTGTGTAGAATGTTGCTCCTATTTTGATTTTGGAATTCACTCTTCAGTTGTCAAAATGCCGTCCAAGCAAGAAGAGCAGCGCATCAAAATTTTGCTCGCGCATCGCGAAAATCCGAGCTACTCGCACGCAAAGTTGGCAAAATCGCTAAAAGTTGCCAAATCAACCGTTACAAATGTAATTAAAGTGTTTGGGGAACGTTTGTCGACAGCCAGGAAGTCTGGATCGGGGGAAATCGAAAACCGGAAGCCGCTGAGACGACAAAGAGAGTTGCCGGTAGTTTCAAGCGAAACCCTAACCTCTCTCTCCGAGATGCCGCAAATAAGCTGGGTGTATCGTCTACAACCGTGCATCGAGCCAAAAAACGAGCCGGACCATCGACTTACAACAAGGTAGTGACTCCAAATCGCGATGATAAACAAAATACGACGGCCAAAGCGCGATCCCGGAGGCTGTACACGACGATGCTGACGAAGTTTGACTGCGTGGTAATGGACGACGAAACCTACGTCAAAGCCGACTACAAGCAGCTTCCGGGACAGGAGTTTTATATGGCAAAAGGAAGGGGAAAGGTAGCAGATGTTTTCAAGCACATGAAACTGTCAAAGTTCGCAAAGAAATATCTGGTTTGGCAAGCCATCTGTACCTGTGGCTTGAAAAGCAGCATTTTCATAGCTTCCGGGACTGTCAACCAAGAAATTTACGTGAAAGAGTGTTTGAATAAACGTCTGCTGCCTTTCCTGAAGAAACACGGTTGTTCCGTACTGTTTTGGCCGGATTTGGCATCTTGCCATTACGGTAAAAAGGCCATGGAGTGGTACGCCGCCAACAACGTGCAGGTGGTTCCCAAGGACAAGAACCCTCCCAACACGCCAGAGCTCCGCCCAATTGAGAAATACTGGGCTATTGTCAAGCGGAACCTAAAGAAGACCAAAAAAACTGCTAAGGGCGAGCAGCAGTTCAAGGCAAACTGGCTTTCTGCGGCGAAGAAGGTGGACAAGGTGGCTGTACAAAATCTGATGGCAGGGGTCAAGCGTAAGGCCCGGCAATTCGGATTTGGAAAAGCGGAAGCCTAACTGAATATTTTTCCTGAATTTTATACTAATTGAACTTGAAAAAGAAATTTAATTTGATTTTTTAAATAAACGATTTCACCGATTTACACGCGTTTTCCCTTGACCAAATTTTGACCGTATCACCCTTTATTGTATGATTCCGATCCAAAACATGTTTTTAATGAACCGAAACTGCATATTGAAAAATTTATTATATTTATGCTTTGGGACCATTGTGCAGTGACGTCGCGTAACAGCTCTCTTCAACAACTTTGAAAATGTAATTTAGAGTCATCATGTTTATATTCAAATTGGTCCCAACATGCAAATGGTCTTCTAGTTTCACTGATTTGTATCGATTTAAAGCAATATATCTTTATTTGTTTGAGAGTTGATGAACAGAAGTCCAGAGCAGTTAAGGCAACATCATTTGATGATGTGATGTGAATAGAACCCACCATTAGTGCAAGGATTACCTATGGCTGCAGATACTTCACTGGTTGTAAAGTTCTGCCTGATGGTTTGTTGCAGCAGGGTGAATCAACTTCATTGAAGACCTTTGGAAGACAAACGACAAGATGTACGTCTATCAACACGTGACAAGGGACTGGCAAATCCACGAACCCTTGTCCAGTCTACAAATCCTTTGAAACCCTTAGGCTGCCCCCCCAAACCCAGCATATAATAATGTTTGATTAATATATATCCAAAAAAGGGTTATTTAGAAAGAACAATCTTCAACTGGAAAATCAATATATCCGGGAGCGCATTCCCGATGCTTTATTTTCTCTAGTCATTTTTAAACAATTCGTCCTTCAGCGAATCCAACCACACAATAACTAAATATCACTTTTCTTCTTCATGTCACTCTGTGCACAAAGTGCACAAAAGCAATGCAAACCGCAAAAACCTAATAATAGATCAGCGCGGTCGAGTCACACCGTCAACAAAGGGAGCGAGAGCACACCAGGCACCAAAGCAACAGGGGAAAAACATCAGCGCAAATCATTCTAAATCGAATTTTCGCGTCCGGGACACAAAACAATTCAAATACGAGCACCGAAAAACTACACGGCAGCACAAAGATAGCCCGAGCGCTAAAAAAAAGCACGCAGCGGAGCAAAAACACACAACCGTTCTAGGACGCTTCTCAAAGCGGACTGTTAAGGCAACATCATTTGATTTCGAGAAACTTCGTTGAATTACAGGGAACTGTGTAGACCATCAGGAAACTTTCTAGAACTGCAGCAAATGTTATAGAAGCTCAGCTTACGTTGTAGAACCTTAGTGAACTTGCAGAAGTGCTAAGAATTGTTTTAAAATTCAGAGAACTTTGAAGAACATTGCAGAAATTTTGAAAACTTTTACTCTAATTTTAAATCCGTTGAAATTAGGGGTTTTTTTTTTTAATTTCAGGAAACTTTGTAAACCATCAAAGAACTTCGTAGCAGATAATATAACATTGTAAACAATCAGGAAACTTCATAGAAGTGGGAACTTTGAACACATTTAGGGAATTTTGTAGAAGTTAAGGGAACACTGCTTAATTTCAGGAAACCTTGTTCGGAGGCCTTGTTTTATTCTTGGGGCACTTCGTTAAAGTTCAATGAACTTGGAATAGTTTAGGGACCAGTGAGCTTCGGAGTAAATCAATGAGAAACGTAGAAGAGCAGCGAACTTTGAAGAAGTGCGGCAAACTTAGTAGAAGTTTAGCAAATTACATAGCAATTCGAGTAACGTCGTTTAACTTCATAGGCAGGGCTGGTAGCGATCACTACTGTCAAAAAATAGTGACTAATATGTTTACCATGTTGAAGAAATAAGTGACCAAATAGTTACTTATAGTTGTAAAAATAGTGACTAAAAAGTGACCTAAGGGAAGAAAAGTAATCGGTATGATGGCACACCAAATAAATATTTGATGTTTTACACTTATTCAATGAGTATCTCTTAAACACTTATGTACGATATGAACCTTTAAAGCGGATTCAATAGAAAGTTTATGGCCAAACCCACGGTATTAGTCAGGGTGTCGACTAACTGCAAAAACCTGGAAAACCGACAGTGGATTAATCTTCAAGAACCAATAAATTAAAAAAAACAGAGGCTTGGTTTCTTTTGTTTTGAAATAAGCATATTTCCTAGAAATTTCAAATTTGAACTAGTTTTGGACTTAAAAGCTATAAAACTTCAAGAAATTTTCAAGTTTTAAAGGCTCGTTGAATTTTATTATATTTTCTAAGGACCTCATTCCAAGGGAGTTCTGAAAAAAAAAACTTTCAGAAAAAACATCAAATGCAATCTGCATTCAAGGTAGTTCTGAGGAATTTTAGATTTCATGTATAGCCTGATAGTTTTCAGTAGAATTTAAAGAAACCCTGAATTGAATTAAAAGTAAATATGAATGAAAACTCTTAGGAATTTCCGAGGAACTTCAGAGCAAGGGCATTCTGAGGATAATTTCATAAAGTTTGTGGGAGAAAACGAAGTACTTGGATTTTTTTGAAAATACTAAAAGGTGGATTACAATTGAATCGGAGAATAAATTAAAAAAAATCTACAATGGAAAATAAATTCAAGAGAGTTTGCCTAACAAATTATGAGAAGAAATCCAAGGAATTTGTGAGGATAAATACCAATAAATTCCTAAGAGATTTTTAATGTGAGTAGAATTCCAAGGGAAGGAGTGAGATTCAAAAAGAAATCTGAAATGAATTCAACTAACATTCGAATAATCTTTCCAAAGGGTTTCTTATTGTGGAGAATTTCAAGGTAATTGCGAGGAAAACTAAAAGAAAATTGAATTCGGAGGATAGCTTTAACGAAATTTTGAAGAATATTTCAATGGAAATCTCCGTTGAATATGGAATTGACTATTCTGAGGTCTTCAGAACTACTTGGAAGTTCCAATGTTTTCCTGAAGTAATGAAATTGCCTTGAAAAGACCTTCATTTTGTAGTTTCATCAAATTCTTGAACTTCCCTGAGCTTTATAGGACTTCCTAAAGTTTCTTCAATTTTTCTAGCGATTATGAATCTTCTCTAAAGGATTAACAATTCATTGAAGTTCTCTAAACTTCTTTAACATTTGTGCGACTTCGCTAATGTTAACGGAAATGCTTTGAGATTCTCTTTTCTTTTCTGAAATTCTCAAAACTTCTCTAAAATGTTTGCAGTTCTCATGAAGCTTGTTGTACTGCGCTGAATTTAATTGAACCGTCCTAAAAATGTTTAAGCTTCAGTGAACTTCTGCTCTAAATTTCCCACTAATTTTCTGAAACTAAACTGACCTCCCCCTGAAATTCCTCCAATTTTCGGAGTTTACTAAACTTCTTTCAAATGGTCCAGCATTTTGATCATGTGCAAAAAATTCCTGAAGTTCGTGGATTTCTATGAAGTCCTAAAAATATTTCTGACTTCTTCAATAGCCTAGACTTTCCTGGTGTTATTAAAACTGCCTAAACCATCACTGATGTTTTTAAAGTTCTCCAGATTGCCCTGAATTTATCAGTATTTTTTAAGAACCCGCAATTTTACTGAAATTAATTGATTTGCCTTAAAGTTGCGACAATTTTCCTTAAATATTATAACCATTATAACCTGAAGTTCATACTTCCCTGACGCTTCTAACGTTTTCGGATTAATCATAGAATACGCCACAATTCCACGGAACTCCTTGTAAGTCGCTGAAAATTTGCTCAAGTTCATGGGATTATTCT